AATTGAAGGGCCGGTCTCGACCTGGAAGAGGGTGAGATCCGTGACAATCGGGAGGCTGGCGTTCTGGAGCCTCTGATGAGCAAAGTAAAGAGCGTGAAGTTCGCGACAGAGGCAGCGATAACGATTTTGCGTATCGATGATCTGATCAAACTGGACAAACAACAGAAGAAGGGATCGAGAGGAAACGACGAAGAGGGTTGTCTCTCTTAAGCGGGGGATTCCCCCGTGGGAATTTGGCAGAGATCGTGGGAAAATTGCAAAATTCCCAGAAAAATGATTGTGTTTGGCTATTGTTTTTGGCCCGTTTTATTATTATTGTTTGTTGCTGTGGCTGTGTCTGTCTGTCTGTTTGTCTCTCGTTTTAGCGTGCTATTTTCATTGTATCGTTATGTTTTGGTGTTGAGCGGTTGCTTGATCGTTGTTATCGAATAGGTATAAAGTATTGTTCTCGAATTTTAAGCTTTATTTTTCCGGAATTTCTGTGAGAATTTGTTTTTCAGTTGCATTTTGAGAATATTTTTTGGAAATTTTATTTTTCAGTTGCATTTTAAGAATATTTTTGGAAATTTTATTTTTCAGTTACAATTTTTATAAAATGTTCCGTTTTGAAATGAAACCAGATAGAATTTTGTGGATTGGAATGTAGTTTTGAGCTGATTCGTATTTAATTATCGAACTGGTTTGAGTTATAATAATAATAATGTTGATGTTAGCATTATTATTATTACTGTTATTGTTATTATCGTATTATTATTATTGTTGAAATAGCTTGTTTTATTATTATTATTATTAATATTTTCTCTGTTTTTATTATTATTATTGCTTTTATTAATCATTTTGATAAAACTTTGTTGATTTTTTATTGTTTTACAATTACTTTTTTTATTATTGTTATTTTTATTATTGTGGTTATTATTATGAATAATTGTTATATTTAATATTATTATTATTATTGTTGTTCTGATGTCTCTATTATTAAGGATGGCATTGACAATGCTTGCAGTATGGCATTTCGTATTCGAATATTTATTATTATTATCTTTATTATTATTATTATTACCTTTATTATTATTATCGTTATCATATTTATTATTTTTATTATTATAATTATTATTATTGATGCATTTTTATAGAATGAAATCATTTGAATTCAACGGAGTGAAAAAAATTCGCCAGCGGAGGGTTGTGGTGGCGATTGGCCAAAGTTGTTGGCAAGCGGCCAGGAATGTGGGCGTTTTGGCCAGTCGGTCTTGGACGATTGTTGTAATCGCTGAAAATTATTTGAAGCGGAATCGATGAAGTGTTAACGAAGTAATATTTATTCGGCAAATGAATCGGACGAAGGAAAGGTCAAAGGTCAACGCGATGGATGGGGGTCAGCTGTAAAATTGACCCGGTAAGCGAAGGAGTTTTTGGATTTGGTGTATTTTATTCGTGGATTATAAGGAATAACTTGATGATGCGTTGTGAACAATGGGAATTATTAATGACGAGTGGGAAGCGTTGGGTAACACTCAGGTGTAAGTTTACCCGGATGGGTAGTTGTGAGACTGGAAGGGTGAAATTATACCTGCGCGAAGTTGATACTAGTCGAAGTGTTGAGTGAAGAATAAAGGTACGGCAGCACCTGATGTAACTGATTTGAGGGCGAGTAGTCGCTGTACCCGAGCGGGTAGGAATATGCCCGACTGGGTAATTGTTGAACCTGAATAGGTAAGGATTGTACCTGGGCAATGATGACATGAGTTGACGTGTTGGATGCCGGGTAAGTGTACGTCATGATAGTGCGCAACGACAGCAGCCGCATCAGATGAAACTGGTTTCAGGATCTCGGGTAATGGCTCTACCCGAGCGGGTAGGAATGTACCCGTTCAGGTAAAAGTTTTACCAGGACGGGTAAAATGGAATGGGTAAGTAAGTAGGGAGTAATATAAGCCAAGAAATTAGCCAATAAACAATACCTCTGCATTCATTACGTATAGCAGTCGAAGTAAGGTTTATCAGCTGAATTCTGTCGCTTATTATGAAGAGGGGGGGGGGGGTAGGCCTGGAATTAGGGGGGGGGGACGGGTTGTACCCGGGTATAGAAAGGAATTAATGAATAATAACAATAACGAATAGGTGAACATCAAAAAACTAGTAATATAATAATACTACATGATAGTAGGTAACGAATATTACGCGTAACCTGAAATTAATTTCAGTACTGCAAAAAATTATAACAATTAAAGAGCAATGAGTGCGATATGTGTGCGGACTGGAAACTGGAGTTATGATTAAAGGAATTCGACGAAGAATTAACGATTTTTATAAAATGTCAATATCAATAATCCGGTGACGAGAACAGGTTCCGATGGTCCATTTTTTAAAGGGTACATTTTTTGCATGATTCAATGCATGATACTTTTGTAATTGGTGTATTTTTGTTGGCATTGTGCTATCGTAATGGGTAGAGATACACACGCAATGGGTATATTTACACACGCAATGGGTATATTTACACACACAATGGGTATAGTAACGATAATA